GGCAGCGCTGGCTTTACCGACCGCTGCACAGCTGCCAAATGCACAATAATTGGGGCAGCGAGGGGATATTTAGGTAGAAATAACCCGTGTGCGGGTACGGGCAGCCTGGTCCTGGCAGATGGGAAGTGGTGCTCTGCGACTGCTCTTCCACATGTTTTTTAAAGCATTTATTTCTGAAACTCTCACTGCTTTCTCTCTTGCTGCTCTGGTACACCCGGCGTCACGTTGGTCCCCGTGGTGTCAGATGAGGCAGTCCAAGCCCAGCCCCCCCTTTCTGGTGCACAGGGATCCTGGCGGTCCCTGGAGCTGTCACCAGTGGGTTGCCAGTGGTGCTTCTATTCCCATGTACTCAAGGACCTGCTTTCCTCTCTCGGCAGGAGAGGAGCATTGCAATCACAGACAGAAACTTCGGTCGGTGCGACCCTCCTCTGAGGCGTGCAAAGCTCATTAGAGATGTGCATCTGGAGATCTCGAGCATCACGGACCCTTGAGCAGCACCTCCGTGCCCCGTTCTGCAGCCGCTCAGCCCCCGGCAGCGTGAGGTGGTGCATGGGGCTGCACCCCCCGCCGGGTCTGTCCCACCACGGTGGTTTCCTTCTATTTTAAATTCTAAGCATTGGGGGGAAAAAGCAGAACCACAGCCTGGTTTAGGGCTCCTGGCTGTAATCCGTGCTTTTTCAGAGGCCTGTGGCTTTTGCAAAGACAACCAATTTTTTTCGTTTGTAGTCTTCAGTTACCGGTGGTTGCTGTGAAGGGTTGAAATGAGGATCCCCGCTGGGGCTTTGCTGTGCAGGCTGTGGGGCACATCCCTCGATAGCTGCAGTCTCTGGAGGCATGCTTGTATGTACAGAAATACAGCCAGAACGTTCCTGGGGTACCTCCCAGGACTGGTGCGGCTGTAGCTGGCGCTCCTTCCCCCCCGCCGGCCGGGCGCAGCTGGGCTGGGCTATTCTGTGCAGAGAGATGGGACTGTATTGTCCTGGAGAAGTAAATTACTGTGACCGCAAACTGTGACAGTTGGCATCGCTCGCTGAACACTGGGAGGAAGAGGAGTCCTAGAGGATTCCGGATCGGATTCATTTTGGCGCGTTCCCACGGAAACGGGCTGAGCCCTACGAGAGCAGGCAGGGTGCTTCGGGGCTGTCGGGCGGTGCTGAGGTTTTGCCCGCTGTTGGCAGCGATACCCCTGGCTCGGAAGCACGGTGTTGATCGTTCCACCAACGGTCCGTCTCTCCGCACGCGTTCCCGGTGCTGCGTGAGCAGGGCAGAGCCAGCAGCCACCTCTCTCCATCCACACCCTCTCCCTGCTGCCAGGCTCTGGGTGTGCGAAGCAGGGGGCACTTGGCAGCTGTGTGTTTGTATCGGGGGGGGGAACCTTCCCAGTGTCTGTTAAAATGAGGGAGAATATGGGCTTATCTCTCCCAGCGTGGAGATGTAGCCCTGGTTTTCCACGCAGCTAACCTCTTCCTGCCCAGCTCCAGCTGCTGAGCACGGTGGCCCCTTCCTGCCGTCGAGCCGCTTTCCTGTGGCCATGGCTCATCCCTTTCTCCCTGGCCCCTGGTGTCACCACGTCACCGTTCGGGTGCCGCCGAGGGAAGGGGCAGCTTCCCACCAAGTGTCTTCGGGGTGGGGATGCTCTGCACCGGGCCCTGGTGCTGTCCTGGCTGCTGGACCCCGCAGGGACGTGCCCCCAGCCATGAGCATCTTCTGTTCCCTCGGTGGCCGTGGTGCCCGCAGGCACCGCTGCCACGGGGTCAGCTGCCAGTCCCATCTGATGTTGATTTCCCAGCAAACACCCCATCATTGTAATAACCCCCGTAATACCACAGCAGTACCCGCTGCCGCCCGTCCTGCGTGTATGTGTAGGATTTGTCAGAAGCTGGTGTTCAGCCAGGGCTCTGTACGTGTACGAGGACGAGTCACGTTGGTCCGCAGGAGTCTGGTTTCCATTAAACGCTCCTCAGGAGCCACGCCAGGCGTTCGCAGCACTGGCTGTCCCTCCGGCTTGTCCACTCCTTTCCTAACCTTAAACCTTCCGTGGTTGTTTTTCTATGGTGGGAGCTCCGCACGGTGCCAGGCGCTGCCCCGGCCACCCCAGGGATGTCCTTGGTGGCTGTCACTGCGGCGTGGGACAGCAGGGATGCCTGTCCGCCTCCGGCCGCCCTTAGCTCCAGGCAGCAGGGTGAATGTGCACGGTCACTGCTCGCAGCCTGGGCTTCCTCCACCCAGGAGGTGCTGAAGGCGAAGATGAGGATGGCTCCCCAGAAGGAAAAAAATTCCTTGTCCCAAGCAAAACCAAACAGTGCTGAGCTAATTAAGAGGCGCTCGTTTTTTTTCCCCACTGTGAAGCTAACATGAGATGTGGTTTGTAGCACGTCCACCTGGATTTCCTTTAGCTAGAAAACTGGCAAATAAACTCTCAGGCCAGGCAACGTTTTGAAAGGAAAATGTAACTTAAATCAGCTATACCGTTCCTTTTTTTTCTGGTTGAAATATATTGCGTTTGGCTTTTTTAAACCCTTCTCTGCTATTGCCCTGCCTCCTGTTCCTATACAAACCGAAAAGGCAAGCAGCTCGCCAAGGACCACTGCTCCGACGCTGGGGCTGAACGCTGCGCTGACGCAGGTGATGGAAAAAGCGTGCGTGCAAATCCTCTGGGCGCAGCGAGCGGGGTTTGCGTGTGCAGCCGTGCTCCTGGCTCACGGGGCCGCAGGGAGGGGCTGCTCAGGGATGGGGGTTTGAATGGAGCGGTTGAAGTTCACCCGCTAATAAACGTAGTCGAGGAGGGGCTGGGCGGGAGCCATCGGCAGCATCCTGGGAAGACGGCGAGGGTTTGCAGGGGGACAAAGAAAGATTCCCTTGAGCGACAACTGAATGAGAGCCCGAAGCGAACGCTGCGGGGACTGAGAGTGAATTATTTGCTGGGGTTTTCCATCAAATCAATGACATCATTCTGTGCTGGAGTTCACCCATTTACGCGCTCTCAGCCCCCCGGCAGCTGTGCTTAAATAGCCACATTCAGGCCTGAATCTGCCCATTCAGGAGCAAAGGTTTGACCCGCCGGAGGAAACTGCTGAACGCGGCTTTTGAGGGGAAAGCGGGGACTGTGTGCGCTGCGAGGCCGCGCTCCGCCCCGGGCCAGGGACCTGGCCGTCCC